TGCAACTTGCAACTCCAACGGCGGCCACATGGTTCTGTGTACCGTTTCTAGCCGCAACATGCATTGCTCTAGGCGGGGAGCGGGCAAACGCTAGTTGCTGGCGAGACAATTGCGTGGGTACGGCGGCGACATTGACCCAGGCAGGTCAGTGTCGGCGACAGCTAATGATAGCGCGGAGGCTTGGGAGAGAAGTGTGGTCTTGCGGGTCATGCGCGCGGTATGCGGGGCGAGCTTATTGTCTTTGACGACGGCGAGGCGGGAGGGACGTTGTTCCGCGAAAGGCAGACGTTGTGTTTTGCGGGGACCCCAGTAACTGCCCATGCAATGTGGCCAAGCAGAGACAATAAGAGGCGCCTGGTGGGCGAGAGCGGGTGTCTGGGGTCCAGCTCAGCCCGGGGGATGTGGGCGCGCGTTTACGTGTTTTGTGCGGAGGCAGAATAGGCGCCGCGCATGTTTATATGCGATGTTGATGTCCCCAGCCGAGGCCAATTGTCCCTCCCCGGGGCGAGGTGGACGTACTTTTGTCCGCTCTGTGCTCTTAAGCATCTGTTGCACGACCTAGACAGCCATCACCAGCTAGTCTAGTGTCCGCCGCCTGCAACATCTCCCTGCTCTCCGCTCCACGCGCATTTACCAGGACCTGCCATCCTCTGTAGCCCTATCCAGCATTTCGACCTTCTTACACGAGCCTCGCACTCCGTTTAGAACCAGTTACGCCTCTTTTGCATTTTGTGGGTGTTTCCTGCTGTTCGAGCCTGGTTCCAAGACTAACACAGTGCACAGACGTCTCTTCACGCCCAAGTACTACCCTCAGAATCTCATTCATGTCTTTTGCCGTCTCTACCATTCAACCCACCAACAACTCGGCCAACGTCTCAGTGCAAGCACTCTCGCAAACAGCCCCTGCCTACGCTTTCCTAGCTCACCCGCCCCCGCAGAAGAAACGCCCCACACAGCCGCTCCCGTCCCCTCCGGTCCCCAGGCTTCCCTCGTGTGCTCCCTTGAACCCAAGGCGCCGTTCTGCCACAACCTCTGCCATCGCGGCGTGGGTCGCCGCAGTCAATCCAGGTTCTCCTGCGCCTCGCTCGCCTCGCCGACGCTCGTCCATATCCAGTGCACGCCGTTCCTCGGGCGGCTCCCCGTGCATCCTTTCCCGGCGTCCCTCTGTCACTGGAAACCCGCACTCCGCGTCGTTTCTCAGCTTCGCAGACACCCCGACTACCGGTTCGCGCATCGCCATCACTCCATCCATCAAGGACTTCAAGCCGGACCTTACCGCAGTCGGCTACACGTCCGTCTTCCTGCACTTCCCAGACACACCACAGTCGGCTACCGTCTTCACGAGCAGGACCCGCCCGCCTCTGAGCCCCCAGCGCGTCCCCCCTCGTTCCCCCTCGAGTCCCGTCAGACCCGCCAAGGGCCTGAAGTCTTTCCGCTCTCTCTCTGCACTGAGGCCCACGCGCCGCGTCCGCTCAAAGTCCATCACGATGCGCGGTCCCCCCTCCCCTCCGCTCGCGCTCCCCATCCAGGCGAAGAAGTCGCCAACGCAGTCTAAGGCGTCTCGGGCGCAAGCCACTGCCACGGTGAGCGCGTCGAAGAAGTCCAAGTATGCGAAGTTCCGCCCTCCGCCGCTCGCGACAGAGCTCGCGCTCGCACAGCTCGCCGACGGAGGCTCCCTCGAGGATCACATCCGCAGATTCGCCGAGGCGCAGGCCAAGGCCGCCGGTGCGACCGAGCTCACACGTGACGGCCGTCTCGTGGGTGTTTCCGATGTATATCGCGATGGCGCAGGCGGCGTCTGGCGCGACCAGGACGAGGAGTGGGAGTATGCCCACCTCCTGGGCGGCGACGAAGAGTCACGGTGCGGCAGCGAGGACAGCTGGGTGCGCTTTGGCTCGCCGACGAAAGCGCGCAAGCCTTCCGTCGTCACCATCGCCGAGGTGGACGACGCACGGCGCGGTAGCGTGTCCAGCCAGGACTCCGACCTCGATCCGCGCTACGCCATGCGCGCCGAGGATGAGCGCGACGATCTCGCGGGGTTCGGCAGCGCCCTCGCCCCCGCCTGTGCGCGCCGGCCCGGCATGTCCGTTCTCGCCATCCCAGCACGCACCCGCCGCACAGCCAAACACCTGCGCAAGCCCGAGTTCCTTCTCGACGCGTTCCCCGTGCCCGCGTCGCCCACCTCCGCAGCGCCCCACGCCTCGCACCCCAAGGACAGACAGCTTGCGGCGAAGCACCGCAGGCGCCCCGCACCGCTCACGCTCACGCCGCCGAGCCCTGCGTTCAAGTGTCCCACGAACCCCCTGGACCCGGAGCAGGTCCGGGACGCCTTCCTCGCGTCCTCGTTCGTCCCCGCACACGCCTCGAAACGCGTGCAGGCGCAGGCCCAGGTTCCCCAGCAGCTCCCTGTCGTCCAGGCCTCTCCGCGTGCTCCCGCGCCTGCCGCGACGATCGTGGCGAAGAAGCCCGTTGCGAAGAATGTTCGCGGCTTCCTGCGCGCGATGGGCATGAAGAAGGGTGATATGTAGAGTTTGCTGCCTAGGGTCCCCCACCCCCTCCCGGCGGCTTTAGTGGTCCTGTCATGAATCCATGAACTTTGAGCGTAGCTGAGCCAGCTGCGCCTCAGCATCCCGCTTTATCCATCGATCTCTGCCCCGTCTGTAATGCCCTCCGGTCCGTCTTGTCTCCATGTATCTGCGCTCCTGGGATGTATCTCTATCATATGTATTGTGCTGTAATTTGTATAACAGTTACTATTGTCTCGCGGTTTGATACCGTCTCTCGACCTTAGATGTAGCCAATATACCTCTTCGGTATCCGATGTGAACTCGATGTTGTGCCGCTCGTCTACAGACCAGAGTCACTCCGAGTCCCCGATGCCCATCGCCCACTGAACAGGTAAGCGCCCTTGAGGTAGCCAAACAAAAGCAAAGCTCGCGTTCGTGGCGGTGTGCGTAGCACGCGACGCGTCTGACGCCTCTTGCACTGAGCCACAACTCTGCGGTGCTTCTCGACATCCAGCAACGGCCCCGCGCGCAATGGAGGTCGACGCTCAGCGGTTGCGCGAGAAGGCGCTCGAAGTCATCACCAAGGTCGTGCAAGACGACAAGCTTCAGTAAGGCTGGTGCGACTGCACTCCCTGGTCACGCGTGGCTAACACTATTGTGATGCGCGCAGCGAATTTACGTACGGAACATACAGGAAGAAAGTCGAAGAAAGTTTGACGCTCGAACCAGGGACGCTGGATGCTCCTGAGCACAAGGCTGTCGTGCATGCCATCGCGAAAGATTACATCGTAAGACTCTACGCGGCAGGCCTTGTTCGCAGACATAATCTCACCACGTGTAGAACCGACTTGACGAAGGCAAGGAAGAGGGAGAGGAAGAGGAAGGGCCTGCAGAAGAGCAAGCTCCTAAGAAGGGCAAGGCTCGCGGTAGGGCTGTGAAGGCGCCGCCGCAGCCGCGCAAATCCCGGACAGAGGGTGCAGAAGTGGCCGCGCCGGTCAAGAAAGCTCCCAAGGGCAAAAGGCCCGCTGCCAGATCTGCGGTGAATGACCGTGCTTCCTACGCTCACCCACCGCTGCAGAAACTAACGTTATCGAAGTCCGTGGTTCCGACGTCTGACGAAGACGCGGGGTGCGATCCCGGCGCGCCCGGAGTCTGTAGCCCGCCAACCTGTCGGTCCTCAGCCTCTGTGAAGGCGAAACGTGTCGAAAGCGAACTCCAGGTAACCACGCGCTCGGTATTCTTGTGCTTTCGTGCTCATATGACTCCCTCGAGCACTCTGTCGACGAACCTCCCGCGAAACGCGCCCGGAAAAACTCTCCACCGACGGAGCAAACCGAGCTCGCTTCCGATGCCATCCCGTCTCCGTCTGCGGCAGGCGCTATCGCTCAGGAACAGGTCCGTAACAGCGTGCAAAGCCGTGCGACAGCACACGCTAATTTATACTTGACACGGCAGAAGAGCGATTCGGAGCTATCGGTGTTGATTGACGAGCCACCCTCTCGGAAACGGAAGAAGAAGGGCGCACATGAGGTCAGCGCGTTCATCCGTGGCTGTCCCCCCGCGTTTCTTCCGCTGACTTTCCACCGCAGGACCCACCCGTCAGTGGCGGATGTCGCAGTCCTCACCCACCTTGTGCGCGCTGACGAGACCCTGCAGAAGTCCAAGGCCCCGAAGGGGAGGAGGCGGAAAGAACCGGCTAAAGAGCTGTCGAAGGACGAGGAGACCATCAAGCGTCTCAAGGTTGGTCTCCGTCACACGCCCCACACCGCCGCCCCGCCGACATTCCTATTCTAGTCGTTTGTTGTGGCCTGTGGCGTGCGCAAAGTCTGGGCCAAAGAGTTCAAGGAGCTCGAGAAGCCCTCAGAACAGATTCGCCGGCTGAAGCAGATCCTTGCGGACCTCGGCATGACTGGTCGGATGAGTCTGGACCAGGCGAAGACGATCAGGGCGAAGAGGGAGTTCGCACAAGAGCTAGGTGCGTCCCGCCGTACTACCCCCGCACGTCCGCGGTGTTGATACATCTATCTTGACCGCAGAGGACGTCAAAGAGTTTGCGAGCAAACTCACCTCAGCTCCACCCACAAAGAGTCGCCGTCAAAAGGATGTCGTTGAGAAGGACGGAGGGGACGAGGGTGAGGAGGAGTCCGAGATCGAAGTCATCACGAAACGCAAGGTGCGTGTCTACACTGGGCGGCACCCATGCTGCGTCGCTTATGATTCCCCTTCCACGTCGACAGACTGCTCGCCAGAGCATCATGGCTTTCTTGGGAGATGAGAGTGATTGATATATTGACGTGAAGGAGTTGTTGACGGAATGCTGTATATTTATCCCTGCTCCTATGATATGACCGACCATAATCTACATTACCACGGCTTGTCAGTTGCCCGTCGTTGAAACTTAGCAAGACGACAATGCGCAAAAAGAAAAGTTGACATCGGAGACTGCTGTGCACGTGCTGCGCTATCGGAAAAATAATAGATAAATAAAAATAACTCTCTGTCGGGGAGTCGAACCCCGCTTTCGCGCGCACGCATTTGACAAGCGCGTGTACTAACCGATATACTAACAGAGACATGTTAGCAAGCATTTGCATTAACTTGATAGCTTGTTCTTTCCGGATAGTGATCATCATGTATGCCGAGAAGGAGTCTGCCACAGCAAGCATGTAAAAATCACGAAAGGATAGCGTAATGCTGCATAGTTCGCGACGGCTCCAGGCAATAGGCCTTCGGAGACGTTCAAGTAAATGAGATGAGGAGCCTGCAGGAGAGGAAGATTCCGAGGGGGGGGGCAATCTTTCGACCTCGGTCGGGCTGGCGCCCGTGCAGGACCCTCAGCGAATGTTCGGTTGCCGCTCCTCGGGCAGGTGCTGACCTCGAGGGAGGAATGGTTGCGTCCCTGGGACATTTGGGGAGTTCGCCGTCAGGGTTGCAAATGGGCAGCAGAAGGGGGCGCGGGACATGGAGAAGCCTACAGAGTGCGTAATGCTGAGGTCGTAGCAACTGCTGCCGGTTTGTCTCTCCGGTGGACCAAGGCGCGTTTGAGCCAGCTTATCGGAGCTCACGGCAAGGAAGAGTGTCGTGCTATTTCGGCGCGGGTCTTGTGCGAAGCGCACTCGAGCAGTGATAGAGAGCTAAAGGCACCGCGAGCGGCACGGTGAGTGCGGGTCCATTAGCGTCGCTCTCCGGGTCGAAGATGGTGTTCTGGTCGCAGACTGTGACGGCGTTTGGACGTCTGACGCTGTTTCTGAGTTGATCCATTCGGAAAGGAGGCCTGAGGCATGGCCGACGGACGTCCACTGCATGGTTCGGGGTCATGGGGCGCAAAGCATCATTAATCAGGGCCGCTGAGCCCCGCGTGAAGCCTTCCGCTGCTGCCGAACAGATGCGAAGGAGGGGGGCAGCCACTTAGAACTACTAAGGTAACGTACCAGCACCGGGCTCCTCATAGTACACGCCAGCGACACCACGATGGTCCCTTCCGTAGGGCTGCTTGCCTGCAGGTATGCAGCGGCATGCTGCGAAGCCGTCTAGCGTTCAAAGAGTAGTACGAGAAATCTCCGAGCCGCTCTGCGGGGCCGCATAGGACGAGGAAGGAGATTTCCACCGACCGGCGAGGGGCGCGGAGAGGTCTTGGACGATCAATCCCAGACGGCGCCTATCTCGCCGTGTAAGGCAGAGCAGTTGCCACATAGGATGCTAGTTGTGTACTACTACAGTAGCCACAACGTTAGATGTGGGATCCTACCACGCTTATCCTACTGATCACCATAGTGACCTCCACAAGCTCATTCGATTGTATAGACAGTCCACATCAAGCCGGATCGTGAAGAAACCCGACCCAGTCAGAAGGCTGTCAACAGCAGCGTAGCACCTTCAAGCTCTTTTACTGGGCATTGTGCCTTTGTGTGCTTGACGAAGTTGCGCCATCGCCACATCGCTTGTTGCCATAGGCTGTACAGCGTTCACACGAGCAGTAGCCCCTACGCTGCATAGTAGCCATGCCGTTCAAGACGGAGTCTGGTAGGCCAATCCTGCTCTCAGCGCGTCTTGTCCGTCGACTGATAACCCCAGCCAGGTTTCCTACTCCCGTCGATCCACGCAGCGCCGCCCTTCTTCACGTGGGTGCTTCTCTCTGCGTGTCTGCTCATCTGTATCATACTCTAGGGCTAAACTCACGAACATGTCCTCAGACAACAACCCAACCCCGCAACGCAGGCAACAGTCACCCAACACTGGACGCGCCTCATCCTCACATACGCGCGGCACCGGAACCTCTTCACGATCGGGCCAGATGATGCAGACGCGGCGGGCGGCGACTGGGACGAGATCCTCCGCAATCCCCGAATAAACCGTACGTCGTGCCCGCCCCCTCGTCTCCCCCTTGTGCGACCGGGGAAATTGATCACACACACGCGCGCGCACGCGACCAGGTCGACTGTTCTCATCGCACCTCGCCACAATCCTCGCGGACATGGTCGCCAAGGGCCACGCCGCGTACGAGCCCCCGCGCCAGACCGCGCTCGTGCTCCTCTACTGGCGCTCCGCGGACGAGTGGGCACAGGTGCTGCACGACTGGGTGCGTTCCCGCCGCGTCCCCCGCATTTCCCTCCCGCCGCCGTCATCCTGCGTGGGCTGCGCTGACCGCTAGCGACAGGCGAGCGCGACGGGGCAGCTGAACACGATCCTGACGTTCTACGAGATCGTCGAGCCGCCGGTGCCGTCCCCGCTCTCGGGCGTGCCGCTGCCGATCGTGCGCAGGGCGGTGGGGGTGCTCGCCCGCTCGATCCGGGCACAGATCATCGCGGTCTCGGACGGCGAGGGCGTGCGGTTCTTGCCCGGGGCCGCGGGGAAGTAGGCTTCGACGACGCGGCGGGAGGGGGACATACGAGGGTTCCGGGGGGCTGCTTTGTCGCCGCGAGAGGCGTTCACTACGAATCGTATTGTGGATGGTTGTAAGCTGGATGTATACATGTGTCTTCGTCCTGTTCGATAGGTCGATCGTGCGGTCTCAGAGTCAGACGTGGATCAACAATCGAGCAGGTACACTCTACGCCAGGTTATGACGATGCGTTGAGGGCCGGTGAGCTGCACGTATGCGCTTTGGTCGTTCGAACCTCCGACTTACATAAGTCCGGGCGGCGGTCAGCGATCTCACAGGAGCACTTCTTCCGACCGGGCTTGACATTCGAAGAGTGCACTCAACGGCGCCGCACGGACGGCCATCGTACATACACACCCCTGTACGCCCGTGCCCCCACATCGACATCAACCCCCAGTCACGCGAGCTGCGGATCCACAGCCACAAGCCTGCAGAATTTTAGCCGTCGCAAGCACGCGTAGGGCCGTGGCGCGTTTATAACCGCAGCCCGAGAAGGCTGCACTCTCACTCCTTCAAGCATGTGTCTTGGCCGTATTCCACCGCGGTGATGCCCTTGGCATTGCGGTACGTAGCGTACTGACAAATTCCCGGATATATTGGATAGAAGCAACGAAGCCCGAGCAGAACAAGAAACAACATGTGTCACCGCGTCCAGAGAGATCGCCAGATGAGCGGGAGAAGCTACGAGGATGGACCATGATCTGCGAACGCCACTCGAGACGCCATCTCCTCGTGCGCACTGTGAGCCCAGGAGGCACTTATAGCACAACGCCGAACGTGAACGCGGCGACACCGAGCGCAAAGGCAGCGCGGACAAGCTGGCCATCGAGGGCGAGCGCGCTCGCGGCCGCGTTGTTGTTTGCGCTGGTCGTGTTGCTGGTACTGGCGTCCCCTGAGGTCTTGTTTCCGTTTGCCGCGCTAGTGGAGGGCGCCGGGGAGACCTTGGCGGAAGCCGTCACGGAGGCGGAGGTCGAAGCAGGGGCAGCTTGCGTTCCTGGAGCAGCGGAGGTTCCTGGGGCTATGCTGGCAACGCCACTCGCCTGGCCAGCAACGGTGGTCGCGCCGCTGGTACCACCGGTCAAGTACGATGGCGCAGCGACAGCGGTAGAGGGATCCACAAGCTGGCCGGCACCCCAAGGGATGGCCTGACCGTTGGGTTGTGTCGCGTTGGGCTCCGGGGTGACGTTCCCGTCGTTGTTGCCGATGGCGAAGCGGGTGGTCCAAGTACGGTTCGCACTGGAGGGGGAGGTGAACTGGTAGAAGTAGATGGCGGAGTTGGGGGTGACCTAGGGAGAACATAGTCAGTGCTGCAAAACGTGCAATTCTGACCAATGAGATCAAGCTCTTTGCGAACAAGGTCTACGAGCAAAAACGTGCAATCCCCCAGAATCACGGATGGGAAGCGTCCAGATCGAAACCAAAAGCTGTAGCTCATGAGAAACGATGCACTCACTTGAGGACAGTCGTAGCTGTAAGTCGTCTTGCTTGCATCGGTGCCGTCAAGCTTCGCCACGGCTACGTTGTAGGTTCAGTTTTAGAAATGTGAGATGTGTTCCCACGTGACGCACTGGTGAGATGGATCATGTTGAAGTTGTCGCCGGTCATGAGCTCGACGTTCATCTCTGTCCAGGTGCCGGTGGGATCGACATCCCAAGCGAGCGTGCACTGCCCGCCCTCCCTGAACACGTCGCCCGGGCCGGGCGCGGAGGGTGTCGGATCAGCGCTGACAACAGCAGCACCCGCAAGGAGGGCAACAAGGGTAGCGTATGGGAACATCGTGAAGTTATTTTCAAGAATAGGCCGCGTTGGGGAGGGTTATTGAGCTGGCGGGATACAGTACGCGTGAGCGACTGGCCGGACTGTGTCATGAGGAGGCGCACCTTGGGAAGCTGGTCCAAACGGTGCTAAAAGAGCGACGGGGTAAATGAGGGAGGGGTACGACGACCAAGATGGCTGAGGGAATAGAGAGCAGGTCGAGGGCGAGGGAGGAGCACGAGCAGGAGAAAGAGGAGCTAGACAGTTGCAGGCGGTCTCAGGCCGCGGCGCACCAGCGTCTGAACGTCCCACGTGGAGGAAGTGCTATGTTTAGCAACACTGCTTTGCCCATCAACGTTGAAGTTCGATGTCTCCTTTTCCTCGCCAATGCGCCCGTATTCATCGCGAAGCACACATATTCACCAATTACACGAACATACGGTACAAAAATCCGCACAAACATGGGCACCAATAACAATATTTTGTCGCACGTATCACAGAAGCATCCGCCGTGCATCATCCTCACAGCCCAACTCCAAGCTTGAAGTTCTACCATACCTCAGTCGCCTATGCTGGTCCAGATCACGTCGTGGCAGTAAGTTGCAAAAATTAGAATGCAACCGCGACCACGACCGCGGACAGGCCCAGCGCAAGCATCCCCGTCCGCACCCTCGCGGCGAAGGACAGCGCCGCCCCGCTGTTGTTCCCGTTCCCGGACCCATCGCCGTTCTGAACGGTGCCGTTCCCGCCACTCCCACCGCTCGTCGGTGCGGCGGGCGGCGGCGTCACCGTGTTCGTATGCGTAACGGTCGCCCCGCCCGTCGCAGTATCGACACTGGCCGTAGTAGCCGAGGTCGACTCCGCGCTCCCTGGAGAGTCGCTCGTCGTCCCCGCCGCCAAGGACGAGGACGAGGTTCCAGCCGAGTCTGTCGCGCT